GGGGGGGGGGGGGAGAACTTGGGCGGAAGAGATCAACAAAGAAGTTGTATGCATATAAGCCATAACCAATGGATAAAAGACAATGGGGGGAGAGGGTGAAAGGCTGGGACTGGGAGGCAGGGGCAGGCTGGGAGAAGACAATGGGGGGAGGGGAGAGAGACGTATGAAATACTTTCAATAATAAAGAATTGCCCTGACCAGTTTGGCTCAGTGGATAGGGCGTCGGCCTGTGGACTGAAAGGTTCCAGGTTCGATTCCGGTCAAGGGCATGTACCTTGGTTGCGGGCACATCCCCAGTAGGGGATGTGCAGGAGGCAGCTGATCGATATTTCTCTCTCATCGATGTTTCTCACTCTCTACCACTCTCCCTTCCTCTCTAAAAAAATCAATAAAATATATTTAAAAAAATAATAATAATAAAGAATTAAAAAAATAATTAGGAAGAACTTAATAACATAAGATAGCAGTTTGGAGTCTTTTCTTGGGTCTGCAACCACATGATCCTGATAAAGACTTAGGCTTCTTTATAATTAAAAAATGGGAATGTTAGACTTTCTAAGGATATTAAAAAGCACTCAAAATCCAAGCATTGTTCATTTAAACCAACCAGCCTTTGGTTTGTAATTTTTCTCTTTTTATAAGATATAATCACAGTTTTTGCTCACATCAAGTCTTTTCCTCATCAAATAGGGAGTCAGAGAGACCATGAGAAGCTGAAATTTGCAACTCTACTTAGTGAATCACTTTGAAGTTAGCCCCTAATATACAAATTGAGGCATACACCTTTAAGTCACTTTCTCAAACTCACACAAAGAGAAATTCAAAATCAAATTTTATATGTACTTAGCATACACAAAATTACTAGAAGAGAACAAAAATGCCATTTGCCCCTCACTTACTCCATCAGCTCTATTCTTAGGTCCTGTAATGCATTTGATATGGTACAATGAGGAACTCTATTCAGCCATATGGCAGTTCTTATTTAAAAAAAAAAAAAAAAGACTCCAAAAAAAACGACATTCTTTTACTTACCTTTGTAAGAGTACAAGGATGCTTGGGAGGAGATTCTCATTCTGAGCCCCAAATTTAGCCAAAGCACTCACAGCAGCTATAATGAAGCATAAAATGAAGCAACGTAAATATTGGTTTCTTGCATTAAGTAATAATCATTCAAAAAATTAGAAAAGTTTACCCATGTTCAGAGGGAATAAACTCTCTTATTGTTTTATTGTGTCTTGATCTTATTTCTTTGACCCATTTAAGCATAAACAGAAATCTGTAGGCCCAAGAGAGCTATGAATAGGAAAATTCTCCATGCATTGTAGGAAAAATCATATCAATTTCTTTATGAGCACTCCTCCATTCCACTACAACCTCTTATATATCATACTGATATAATTAAGCTATAATCTCAAACAACCAGCTCCAAGCATAAAAAGATGCTCTATTATTAAAATTCACTTAAGTCAATAAAGATTTATTGCTCACATAACTTTTGCAAGGAACTGTGATAGGTGCTGGGGAAAGAAAGATAGAAGAAATAGCCCCTGACATGAAGGAGTTATAGTCTAGTGGGAATGACAGGTAAGTAAAAAGATGATTACAACACAGCACAATAAGTCCATGATAGAACCATATCCAGGAAGATAAGTGAATACAGAGAAAAAAACTTAAGTCAGAATTGGTGAAGAAAAGTAGAGCTAAATATTGAAGAACAAGTAACATTAGCCAAAGGGAAATGGAAGGAAAATAGTATTAAAGGCAGAGAGAATCACAACTGCAAAGACCCTCAGTCCAGAGAAGAAAGCATAATGTCATATTGGAACTAGACACAGGTGAGGAAGGCTGAAGAATAGGATCCCATGTTTGAGAGCAGGAGGAGACAAGAGAGACTAGAAATAAAACAAAAATAGGTTGTGGTTTAGCCTCTGTTATTATTAAAGGACTAGAGCCCCAGTGTACAAAATTCATGCATGGGGATGGGGGGGGGGTGTTCCTCAGCCCGGCCTGCACCCTCTCCAATCCAGGACCCCTCAGGGGATGTCCGACTGACGGTTTAGGCCCGATCCCACAGGGATCCCCCTAACTCAGTGGTTCTCAACCTTTTGGCCCTTTAAATACAGTTCCTCATGTTGTGACCCAACCATAAAATTATTTTCGTTGCTACTTCATAACTGTAATGTTGCTACTGTTAAGAATCGTAATGTAAATATCTGATATGCAGGATGGTCTTAGGTGACCCCTGTGAAAGGGTCATTCGACCGCCTAAGGGATCATGACCCACAGGTTGAGAACCACTGCCCTAACTGCTCTCCCCTCCCGGCCTGATTGCCCCTAACCTAACTGCTCTCTCTCTTGCTGGCCTGCTTGCTCCTAACTACCTCTGCCTCATCACCATGGCTTTGTCCGGAAGGACGTCTGGAAGATGTCTGGTCTAATTAGCATATTACCCTTTTATTAGTATAGATTATTATTATAGACTAGAGGCCTGGTGCACAAATTTGTGCATGGCTTGCGGGAGGGGACACAGTCGGATATCCCTCTCACAATCCGGGACCTCTGGCTCCTAACTGCTCACCTGCCTGCCTGCCTGATCGCCCCTAACCACTCTTCCTGCTTGCCTGATGCCCCTAACTGCTCTCCTGCCTGCCTGATCGCCCTAACTGCTCTCCCCTACTGGCCTGATAGCCCCTAACTGCTCTCCCCTGCTGGCCTGATCGCCCCTAACTGCCTCTGCCTCAGCCCCGCCACCATGGCTTTGTCTGGAAGGATGTCCGGAAGCTGTCTGGTCTAATTAGCATATTACCCTTTTATTAGTATAGATTATTAGTATAGACTAGAGGCCTGGTGCACGAATTTGTGAACAGCTGGGGGGAGGGGATGTGGGAGGTTGGCCGACCCCGCCCCCGATCGGGGAGGGTGGGGAGTGAGAGGGGGTGGGACAGGCCAGGGGGAGGGGCCGTGGCAGTTGGCAGGCTGCCCCTGCCTCCTGGTCGAACTCCCAGTCAAGGGGACAATTTGCATATTACCCTTTTATTACATAGGATGTTAAACACAGGATGAATTTGTGTATTTGCAGCAGAGTACGCTACACTAAACTTATAAGCAGATTTTAAATGCAAAGTCCATTTTTGTAGCACAGTGTGGAGTACAGACTGGATCTGTATGAGAGTGGCAGCAGTCACACTAGTTGGCACTGGAAATGAAGGAGAGCCTAAAGCAGCACCCATGAAAATAAAGGAAAAAGAGAACGAAGAAATATTAAAGAGTCAGAATTGATGGAATTTTGCCAAAGAACAGGTGGAGATTATAAAACAGGAGAATAAGTTTCTGCCTTTCCAAAGGAATGGATGATAAAGGTTTGGGTGAGTTTAGTTTTAAGTTGAATTAGAAGTGCCTTAGATAGTTGGACATAAAAGTTCAGGAAAGAGACATGACTGCAATGTCACCGCCTATGAATAGAGCTCTGAAAATGATCACCAGAATAAGTGTGTATGGTAAGAAGACAAACCCCTAAGAAAACTATTATTTTAGGGAATAGAAGAGAAGCTCTATAAATAAGACTGAGGAGTGATGGAAAGATGCAGGCTATTGTGGAAGCCAAGGGAGGGTTTAGTCAATAGTACATTAAACTGACTGAGAGGTGAACAAAGATAAAAACATTGGAGTATTTAACTTGATTTTCCAACTCGCTTATAAGTGATATATTTTTTTAAATAGCTTCAGAGGATTTTTAAGGAAGAGAGCTAGATTATAGTGAGTTGAAGAGAAAATGGGAAATAAGTTCATGAGTGGCTATTTCAAGTTTATCAGACACGGGAAGTATAGGAAGGATCCCACCATCAAGTAGAAATTTTCCAATTTCATCACCACCCCCCTGAGTTACACATTTAAAAAGATCAGCAGTTACACCATTATCAGTGTTCCAATGACTTACCAGCTCTAACAGCCTCATTTTCCAGTACGACTCTATTGAAAATAAAGCGGATATACTTGGAGGGAGCAGGCGTTCTGGGGCCCTCTTTGCCCAGCAAGTGTAGAATCTTTGTAGCCAGAACAGTGTGCTCACAGTCCTCAATGAATTCACAGAGGTGGGCTAGACCTGCTTCTTTAGCCTCAGGGTTCTCTTCCACAATGCTGATGATGCAGTCCACAATGGCCCGTTTATATTCAAAGCCTCCCTGGCAAAAGAGAAAACTCCCATTCGTTCTGAGGATGCTCTTTGGAGAAGTGCTTATACTCCAAGGCTTATGCTTATAATATTAAAATTTCCCTTCCCTTCCTTCATGAAAGAAACAGAAGTGTGTTTTTTTTCTGCAGGGAAAGCTAGAGCCATAGCATGTTTAGTAATGATAAGTCAGCAACCAGAAGTAAGCACACTATTTGAGAGACACATGCTGCTTTAAATACTATGACATTTAATGGGAATCGTAAGAATTTAAGAGAGCAACTTCCTGTGATTTACAAACTAGTCCACCTACATCGTCTCGGAGCATGTTGGAGAGGAAAGTCATCATGACGCCATGCTTTCGCGGGTATTTCTGACAGAGAGCACTAATTGCCTGTACAACCACCACCTGCAGAAAAACAAACAGAAAGGCCATTCACCTTTATAATGACTGTACTGCTACCACCCATAAAAAGACCAACACAGAAAGGACATTCATCTTTATAACTTTAGCTACTAAGCATACTTTATTTACTGTAAGCTAAGCAGGCGCTGTAGTTATTCAAAATTGCAATGGTTCTTCATGAAAGATAAGCCAAGAGACCTCAAGGGAAAATAAAAAGTTCATTCAAGAGACCCCATTCCTTTGCTCCAAATAAATAAGCACATAAAAATTTTAAAGTGAACAGTAAAGATTAAAAGATTAAACAGACTGATTTCCATAGAAGAAATAGAAAGTTACCATAAAACTACTTTACAAAATGGTTTCTAGAATAATTTTACCACAACTTTAAAGACCAGTGTCAAGTGAGAAGGGTGTGAGATGTTACCTTACTTGCAAGCTAACAAGCGAGCCTGCCACAATTTCATTAATGCTAGTAGAAAACATGAAACTCCAGGATCAGAGATGAAAGACAGTAAATTACTCATTGTAATAGCAGTAGCTACCATACCAGTATTTGGAACCAGTTTCCTGAGCCCCAATCCCCACAGGACAATGCAAAAAGGGGCAGATAACACTGAGACTGGCAGTCCATTGCATTACAGGAGAAGAACCCTGAGGTATGGCACTTGAGTATTTTAATGGGCAATAAGCATGCCGGTCTTGTGTTCTGAAGGGAAACATTATTTTTCTTATACTGGACAGTGAGCATGTTTGCTTTTTGCTCTACACCAGTGGTTCTCAACCTTCTGGCCCTTTAAATACAGTTCCTCATGTTGTGACCCAACCATAAAATTATTTTCGTGGCTACTTCATAACTGTAATGTTGCTACTGTTATGAATCGTAATGTAAATATCCGATGTGCAGGATGGTCTTAGGCGACCCCTGTGAAAGGGTCGTTCGACCCCCAAAGGGGTCGCGACCCACAGGTTGAGAACCGCTGCTCTACAGGGAATAGTAGCTTTGTCTTCTAGAGCTGTATTGAAATATGCCCTGTACAGGGAGACACTATATTTTCTAAGGTTGGAAGATACCTTGCACTACACAAAGGGAACAAAGCTAGGACAGTAGGAAACAAAGGGCAGTTAGTGCCTAACTTGCAAGATGTGCAGAAATACAAGAAACTCTTGGAGAATTGGGAATTGTTTCTCAACAACCAGATAGTCCCAATCTATACACATCATTTCAGAACATAGAAAATGAAGGAAACAATCAATCAGTTGCCTCCTGTATGCACCCAGCCAGGGATCAAACCCACAACCTAGGTATGTGCCTTAACCAGGAATTGAAACCACAACCTTTTGGTGTACGGGATGATGCTCCAATCAACTGAGCCACCTGGCCACAGCAAACATCCAGTTTTTTTTATGAAGCAATCATACCAAAACATAATAAAGATGTGATACATGCAAAAAGGAAAATTTTAGATGGAATTCATTTATAAATATTGATGCAAAAATTCTAAGTGATAGATTAGCTAACAACTCCAACACTACAGTAAGAAAATAATATTTCATCATGAAATGAGATTTATACCAAGAATGCAATAATGGTTCAACTTTAGAAAATTAGTTAATATAATGCATATATTAATGAGTCAGTAAAGAAAAATCATATGATTATATCCATAGATGCTGAAAAGACTTTGATAAATATCCAACACCCATTACTAATAAAAATTCTTGAAAAAAAATAGAAATGGGTAGATAGTTCCATTTTACACACTCACACCTCAATCCTAATGTCAGCATATTACTAAATAGAGAACACCAAGAGGCATTCCCATTAAGGTCAGAAATAATATAAGGATGCCACTATCGACTATTATTCAACATTACTATGGAGTTATTAGCTAATGCAATTAGACAAGAGAAAACAATTAGAGGAATAAGAATTGAAAAATAAAAGACATAACTATCTTTATTTACAGGTGATATGACAATATACCTGGAAATCCTACAAAAGCAATAATAAAACTAAATAAAATAATTCAACAAGGTAGTAGGATATAAAATTAAAATGCAAAAATAATACTAATCATTGCATGAAAAATAACTAGTTAAAAGATATAATGGGTTAAAACATATAACAACAAAAGATAATATAGTTAGGAAAAGCATTTAAGACATTCAAAACTAATAAAAATACTATTAAATATTTTGAAAGGCACAAAAGTAACTTGAACAAATTATAAAACATCACTATTCTTGGTTAAAATGTCTTAACATTAAGTTAACTTATAAATTAATGTGATCCCAATAAAAACACCAAGGAGATATTTTTATGAAGCTAGACAAGTTAACACTAGTTCATAAGGAAAAATATACACATAAGACTAGCTAGGGAAACAATGAAAATAAAGAGTTATGAGAGGCAGCTAATAAATATTAATACATTCTGCAAAGCTTCTATATTTAAAATAGTGTGTGATCGTGATTTATGAATAAAGAAAACAACATAATAGAATAGAAAGCCCCAAAATAGACCCAAGTACATATACTTTAGTATATGTTAAAGGTGGTATCTACTTATATAAAAACCATGGGTGGTGTTCATCATGACCACAACCGCCGTGGCCAAGCGGAAGGAAGTCAGTCCTGCAGGGGTTGTCTTGGCAACGGCTGCGCCCTCCCCCCGAGCTGTTTTTCGGAGCTGTTTCCGGTGAGGGCAGGGTTTGAGGCAGAACCCGCCTTCGGAGCATGAAGGCATATCTTTATAAAGTGTGCTACGCCAGCACGGCCAAGGGTGACCCTGAGTGGGGGCGGCAGAAAGGCTTAGAAAAGACAGACAAGAGAATGAAAGCTGGGTTTTGGTGGGACGCTGCTTCTCTGAGAGACAGAGACCACGACCACAGCTGTGTCTTTATTTTATAGCAGATGCCACGAGGCAAAGTAAGGGCGTGACCAAGATGTTTACAACATTCTCCTGGGTTTCAATCCTACTCAACTACATGCACCTGAACTCTATGAAGCCTACATCACTCAGGCACGTGGGGCCACGTGTTCGGACCATAGGTTCAAGCTTACAACTATAGCTGTTGGCTATAATTTTGCTAGGAGGGCCCTGCCCTCCAAGCTGGGACTTGCACGTGGCAATGAGAGGACTGCGCCCTCTCATTAGTCCAAGGCTTGAACCTGTCCAAAACACTGTAGCGGCTCCCCACAATAAAGTTTTAATTCTGCTTCTTTGTTACTAATGTTGTGGCCCTACCCCATAACAAAGAAACAATTTCCAGAGGATGAGGCCCAGGAATCAGGATTTTAAAAAGATTCCCAAGTGATCCTAATGTGCAGCCAAGGTTGAGAACCACTGCTATAGATAATATTAAACATATATCTAAACATGCAATTCTTTGTCCAAAAAATGAGCATGTTCAAAAATTAAATGAAGAAAATTTGGATATACTCGATGGAAATTTTCACACATATTTGAGTGATGATTCTATTGATTCCACAGATGATGCTGAAAAGGAAAATTTTCCCATCGAATTTCTTAATAGTATTAATCCTTCGGGAATGCCGTGTCATAAATTAAAATTGAAAGTGGGTGCAATCATCATGCTATTGAGAAAGCTCAATAGTAAATGGGGTCTTTGTAATGGTACCAGATTTATTATCAAAAGATTATTAACCAACATTATCGAAGCTGAAGTATTAACAGGATCTGCAGAGGGAGAGGCTGTTCTGATTCCAAGAATTAATTTGTCCCCATCTGACACTGGCCTCCCATTAAAATTGATTCGACGACGGTTTCCCATGATGCCAGCATTTGTGATGACTATTAATAAATCACAAGGACAAACTCTAGACAAAGTAGGCATATTCCTACCTGAACCCGTTTTTGTACATGGTCAGTTATATGTTGCTTTCTCTCCAGTTTGAAGAGCATCTGATGTTACAGTTAAAGTTCTAAGTACTTCATTACAAGGGAAATTAGTCAAGCACTCTGAAAGTGTTTTCACTCTTAATGGTGTACAGGGAGATATTAGAATAAGTTTAATCACTTTATTAGTCGTTGTTTGCATCACTATTGTTTTTATATCATGTTTTTGTTGATTTCATATCAAGTTTTTGTCGTTTTTATATCATGCCTCTGTTGTTGTTATATCCTTTTGTTACTGTTTATTTATTAATAAATTTATATATTATTTTCATATACATTTTACTAATTTCCTTTCATCTCTCACACTTCTATTATAGAGAAAGGGCAAATAGCAATATTAAAATATCTCTGCTAATTAATTCCCTTTTGAAAAATATATTTTACTGATTTTTTACAGAGAGGAAGGAAGAGGGATAGAGAGTTAGAAACATCAATGAGAGAAAAACATCAATCAGCTGCCTCCTGCACAATCTCCACTGGGGATGTGCCCACAACCAAGGTACATGCCCTTGACCAGAATCGAACCTGGGACCCTTGAGTCTGCAGGCCGATGCTCTATCCACTGAGCCAAACCGGTTAGGGCAATTAATTCCCTTTTAATGTGCACGAATTTCATGCACTGGGCTATTAGTTTTAAATAACAAGCAAAAAGTTTATTGAATAAAAATGGGGGGTTGGGAGCAACAGGTTATTGAAAAAAATGAGATTAGATCCATTTCTCATTTCATATATAATATAATCCAATAGATCAGAGATCTAAATGTAAACCATCTATCTATACTAATAAAAGGATAACATGCTAATTAGGGTGGACATCCTTTTGGACAAAGCTGCAGCGGCTGCAAAGGGCCCAGGCTCAGGCCAGCAGTGGCAACAGCAGCGGGGTAATGAGGGTGGCGCCTTCCCCTGATCTGCCAGGTCGCCTCCCACAGAGGGAGGCCAGACTGCGGCTTAGGCCAGGGACTGAGGCAGAGGTGGTTAGGGGTGACCAGGCCGGCAGGGGGCAAATTAGGGGCGATCAGCCCGGCAGGGGGGCAAGGTAAGGGCGATGTGGCCGGCAAGCAGAGGCAATTAGGGGCAATCAGGCAGGCAGGCAGAGGGTTAGGGGCAATCAGGGAGTCAGGCAGAGGGGTTAGGGGTGATCAGGCAGGTAGGCAGGCAAGCAGTTAAGAGCCAGTGGTCCCAGATTGTGAGAGGGATGTCCGACTGCCGGTTTAGGCCCAATACCGCAGGCCAGGCCTAAACCAGCAGTCAGACATCCCCCAAGGGGTCCCAGATTGGAGAGGGTGCAGACCGGTCTGAGGGACCCCCCCCCCCGCCCCCGTCGCCATGCACAAATTTCATGCACCAGGCCTCTGGTCCTATAAAATAAAAGCCTAATATGCTAAGTGTCTGGTCGTCCAGTCAGCCATTCAACCAATCAAAGCGTAATATGCTAATGATATGCTAAGGCCACTCAACTGCTTGCTATGATGTGCACTGACCACCAGGGGGCAGATGCTCCGACCGGTAGGTTAGCTTGCTGCTGGGGTCTGGCCAATTGGGACTGAGTGAGTCGGGCCAGACACATCCTGGAGCCTTCCCACGTCCCTCCCTGGCCCCGATTGTGCACTGGTGGGGTTCCTCGGCCTGGCCTGCACCCTCTCGCCATCCGGAACCCCTTGGGGGATGTCAGAGAGTTGGTTTCATCCCAATCCCGCAGGCCAGGCCAAGGGACCCCACTGGTGCACAAATTCATGCATGGGGCGTCTAGTGAAACTGTAAACATACCAGAAGAAACATTAAGATTCTATAATCTGAAGGGAAAGGCTATTATTCAAAAGTCAAAGCAATAAAAGATAAGATTGACAAATTTGACTACAGCAAAATAAACTTTTGCATGACAAAAGATGTCATAAAAAAGTCAAAAGACAAATAGCAAACTCAGAAAAAAATAACACATTTCATAGATAAAGAACCAATATCCCTAATATACATATACAAAAAAACCTTTAAATAAGTAAGGAAACAAAAAACCAAGACACCTATAAAAATGGGGAAAATATATGAGCAGACAACACTTAAAAAGAAATATTAAATGATCCTAAAATATAAGAAAAGATGTTTAACTTCCCTCATAACAAAATAAATCCAAATTAAAACTATATCCATCAGATTGGCCAAACGTCAAAATGTAACACATTCCATTGGTGAGACTAAGGGGAAACTGACACTCATACAGTGCTGGTAGAACTTAGCTTTCTCTACAAAACTACATATTTATTTACCCTTCAACCTAGCATATGGACTTCTAGGGATTTACCCTAAAGATACACCGGTAACATTTCAAGGAAACAAATGCACAAGGTTATCCACTGCAGCGTTCTTTGTAATTGCAAAATACTGCAAACTCTAAATGCTCAAGCACAGGAGATTCATTCAATAAGCTATAGTACAAAATGACCTTCATAGGTTTCCCAAAGATTCAAAATGTCTGCTTAAACATACAGGCTAGGCTTGTCGTTTAAAAGACTAGATATATCCTATAACAGAGTAAATAGGGTCAATTATACTCTTTGAGAAATAAGACAAAAGAATAAGGTCTTTCTATTTTAGTTCTTCTAGCTGAAATTTATTATTCTTCTGATTATCTCTAACACATTTTCACAAGTTCTATTCAACACTGTACTGGAACTCCTAGCCATTTCAATAAGGCAAGAAAAAGAAAAGAAAAGCTTTTGGATTGGAAATGAAAAAGTAAAACTGTCTCTATTAACAGATGACATGATTATTTATATAGACAATCCTAAGGAATGTATACAGCAACTAGTAGAACTGATAGGGTACTTTACAAGGATACCAAGTTATGGGAAAGTGCGGGGGGGGAGATTTTTTAACATACTGGTAGCAAACAATGAAATAGAAATTTTAATAAGATAGAGTCATAAGCATAAAATATTCAGATATAAATTCAACAAAAGATGTGCAAGACCTCTAGAATTAATGCTACAAAACACTGCTCAGAATAAAAACCTAAATAAAGAGGAAGGTATACTATATTCATGAACTAGAAGAATTAATACTGTTAAAATGTCAGTTCTTCCCAAATTAATTTATAGATTCAACACAACCCCAATCATAATCCTAACAGGCTTTGTTTTACAGAAATTATAAAATGGTTCTAAATTTTATATGGAAATGCAAAGAAACAGATTATTAAAAAGAAGGACAAAGTTTAAAGACCACATTACTTCACTACTTGACATTGAAGAGGTACCCATAAAACTATAATAAAATACAGTGGGTATTGGCATAGTACTGAAAAATAGATCAATGGAACATGATAAAGGAGCCCAGAAATATACCTACAAGTCTATGGTTATCTGCTTTTCAGACAAAGATGTCCAAGCATGCCAATGGGTCTTTTCAACAAATGATGCTGGAATGACTGGATATTGGTATGGGAAAATACTGAACTTATCACACATAATACACAAATATCAATTCAAGTTAGATCACAGATCAAAATATAAAAGCTAAAACCACAAAATATTAAGAATAAAACATAAGAAAATATCGTTAAGATGTAGAAGTAGCCAAAGGCTTCTCAGGACACAGAAAGCAATAACTATGAAACAAAAAAAATATTAATAAATTAGACTTCATAAACATTTAAAACTTTTGCTCATCAAAAGATATTGTTAAGAAATAGGCAAGCCATAGAGATTGGAAGAAAAGATGATCGTATTCTTACCTTGAACTCATCTGAAATTTCAGATACAAAAGAAGATATCTGCTTCATTAGTCTGTCCACACTGCTCTCACTTCCTGTTTTGAGAAGTGTAGTAATGGCCAGGGTAGCAATGCTTCTATTTGAGTCTGTGATCAAGTTTTCTAAGTCCAGATTGCAGGCAGTCACAGCAGAGGGGTGCTTCATTGCCACCTTGTGGAAGGGCAAGAAAAATATTAAGCAAATTGCTATTGATAAAAACCAGAATTTAATAAAAAAAAAAAAAAAAAGAAGAGAAAAATAGAAATTGTAATTTAAGGTAAGTGGCTTTTTAAAAACTGAATGGGAAAATATAGGTTAAAATTGTTTCAAAAAGAATGTTTCCAATTAAAAAGGTATGATGTATCATTTGATGAATGATTAATAATCATAGTCAAAGAACAGGATAGCACTTTTTCTTCCCAGGTTTGTATAATCTTTCTAACAATATTACAGTCTGTCTTTTATTACAGTTGGCCCGTTTTTCCTTATAGTACCTGTGCACATTGATACCCATTCGACTGGATGTTAAGTTCTCTGAAAATAGGACCTCACGTGGTAAATACTGCTCAAAGACTGTTAATATCTTATCACTTAGAAAACACTTCTGTATTTAAGCAAACAAATTCCATCCAAACTGGATTGCTCATGGTCACTAAAACATGTCTGCCATTCTTCAGTTTCTTTTTGTAGGTGCCATTTACCTCTCTGCCTATAGCAATAAAAAAATTTGAAAACAGCAAAGTATTGCCTCAAAATTCACTTAACCGCAAAATATGACCCAAACTACTGTAAAACTAATTAAGTCTTAATTTATTCCACTTACCAAGGATAATCATGTTATCATACAGAAATTTTAATGTGTCTAATGGTGGTTACAGCTCCAGGCTCAATAGGGTTAGTATATAAGATATAGCATCATAGAACCTTTCTAAATTTCACAAAATACAGAATTCCGAGACACATCTGGCTCCAAGGTCACAGATGAAGGAATGTGGACCTATACCAACTCTTTGAATACAATTCACATTGCTATTCCTTGGCTGCTCTAAACTTCTCTGTCCTCCAATTATTCACATAATTAACCCATAACCAATCACTCACCACCTATGACAAGTCGTCTACTATATTAAACTTTCATTTAAAATTTTTATGGTTATTTAACTTATTCTGTAATGCAGCCTCTAGAACCATGCTACATGGTAGTCAATAGCCACGTGTGACTACTAAGCATTTGAAATGTGGCTAGTTCAAATTGAGATATACTGTAAATATTTAAGAAAAAACACTAGATGTGTAAGATTTAGAACGAAAAAACTAAAAGGCAAAATATATCTTTTCAAATGCTATACTGATTACATGTTAATATGACATTTTAAATATATATTAGGTTAAATAAAATGTATTATTAAAATTAATCTCATCTTTAAAAAATTTTTTCACGTGTTTATTATAAAATTTAAATTTTCGTATGTGACTCCATTTTGTTTCTATTGGATGTTGCTACTATAGACCAGCATATCCAAGAGAACTTTCTGCAATGATAGAAATGTTCTATATCCACACCATCCAATGGGATAGTCACTAACCACATAGGCTCCTGAGCACTTGAGGTGTGACTAGTAACTAAGGAACTGAATTTTTAATTTAATTTTAATTTAAATGGAAACAGCCACTTATGGCTAAAGGTCATCATATTGGACAATATGGCACTATAAAGTGCTTAAAAGTCAGAAATGAATTATAATCTCTAGTTGAATGATAGTGAAAATGGCCATATCTAAGGCCACAAATACAAGTGAGATACTACAGAACTAAAGCTAATAAATCATATTTACTAACCTTGGAGAGAAAGCCAAACACATCACAATTAATGTTTCTCAATCAAACATTGATATAAGTGACCTACCTTGTTCAAGGTCCTCACAGCTGCATATCTCAAAGCTGGCTTCGGAGAGCTACAGAACAACTGAAGAACTAGAAAAGAAAAAAGATCACTGACTATAGCTCATTTCGTCATAGAGCATATATTTGAAAATATAGTGCATGAACAATCATATTCAAAATATGCATAAGGAAATTAGATTACAGCATCAAAATTTCACATGAAAAATGTGTCATCAAAAATAGAAAAAGCACATTTTGTTGAGGTATAAAAACTTTAAATAGAGAATACAAAGTTTATTCTTTTTCCTAAAAGGATTAATATACCCATCAGTATATGAGTGGTAGGAATATTTATAGTTATAAGAGCAAATGGGTTTTTTAAACATTACAAAGAACTGAAGGCATTAAAGTTATTTTTAAATGTTTTATATGGGGAAACTTCACAAAAAGAAATAAAGCAACTAAAATAATCATCTACATATCAGAATGCAAAGGCATCTATATACACAGAACTAAGATTCAAAAACCATTCCTAATACCTATCCTGAAGACCTTTGGTGCTTAAAACAAACATAAGAATAGAAACAAAAACCAGCTATCAAATATATAACCAACCTGAAACAGCAGGCGCCAGCTCCCTTGCAGTACAGTTAGGAAGATGAATGATAGCTGAAGCAGCTTCATAAATAACCATTTCATGTTTATTTCGCAAGCAGCTCTCAATGAAATCAAAGAATGGACTTTCATGGCTGTCAGTAAATATAAATAGACCATCATTAGATATCAAAAACATCAGAGGCAATATGCACAGTAGTTGAAAACAGACAGATTGAAAAGCACTTTTAGAATTATGGATGAAGGACCTCTGAAAATCCATTCCTCCATAAAAAACAATAAGAACGCTGGCATAAATTTTCAAAATCAACTTTTTCAGCACTCTAGAAATTAGCAAAAGCTTGCAACAATCCTCATAGCTAAAAAAGCCAGAAGCCCAGCAGCCACTGGAGGAGGCAAGTGTGTTTGGAGCTCCCTCAAAAGCCCTGCCCCCAAGAACTGTCACTATTTGATCAGACGAGTGTTCCCTAGAAAAGTCCCATTCATGGAGCTAATCTTTATTTTATCTGACTCATAGCTCATTTAGTGAAAAAAGCCCTATATCCCCAGGGAGTTTGTCCTGCAAAACCAGTGGCAATTGTTTAACATTGTATTTGCCAGAGGCAGTGATTCCAGTTGGGACAAACAAAAATCTGCACACAAAAAACTTAAAGGAAAATCTGAGGCATAAGATGTCCATAGTGGGCTTTGATAATTTCTGACATATTCCTGGGGATCTAAAAGGCCATGCGCATGTGGAAGGCTGCGCAGATGCCCAGGAAAGATTGACAGAGCCCTAATTTCTCACCTGTGCTTGACTTTGAGGTTCTGAGCAAGCAGGAAGTGAAGCCTAAGGCAGAGTTATAAACTGCAAGAGCATGGAGGGCATGCCCCAACACACAAAATGCCCACTGGAAAAGGGTGAAAGACATGCTGATTTAAAGCATTTAAGAAAATATGTCAAATCATTATCTGACGATTCAGCTAACCAAGCAAAAACTTCAATGATTGCACATGATCAAGAATAAAAGCTGCAGAATTAGCCCAGGAAAGTCAGTAAACAAACAACGACGACAAACAGCAACAATAACAAACTCTGAGCATAGGGAAAGGGGAAATCTGAACACCCGAATTTTCACATCAAATAATTTAAAATATCCAATATTTGACAAAAATTTATGATACACAGAAATAGCAAAATATAGCCCATGTATTGGAGGCGGGGGGCAGGGGGGGGAGGGAAATGGTCAATGAACATTATTCCTGAGGAAGCCTACATGCTGGATTTACTATGCAAAGATTTCAGGTCAACTAATATAAATATGCTGAAAGAAGTAAAGGAAACCATGTGTACAGAATAAAAGGGAATTAAAGGTATGACAATCATGTCTCACCAAAGAGAATATTAATATAGAGATAGAAATGAGTTCTTAAAAGGAACCAAATAGAAATTCTGGATTTGGAAAGTATAATAACTGGAGTCAGAAATTCAAATCTGCAGTTTAATGGTTGATTTGCACTGGCAGTAGAAAGAACCATAAACTTGAAGATGGGTAACCTGAGATAACCCAGCTGAGGAAATTTTTTTTTTAAAAGAATGAAGAAAAAGAACAAAGGTTTAAAGACCTGTGGAATATGACCATGTGTAGCAACATTTGCACAATAGGAGTCTCAGAAGGAAAGGAGAGAGACAAAGGGGCAAAAGGAATATCTGAAGAAATAGTGGCTAAAAACTTCCTAAACTTGATGAAAACCATTAATCTATGAACTTAAGAAGCTCAACAAATCCCAAGCAGCATAAATACAAAAGGATCCCACACAGATAGACACAAACTGGTAAAAACATACAACAAAGAAAATTTTGACAGCAGCAAGATAAAAGCTACTGATCACCTTGAATAGAGGAGCATCAATACAATTAATGGCTGACATTTCACCTAAAACGATGGACGAGAGGGTAGTAGAATGTCAAATTCAAAGTGCTGAAATAAAAATTCAAGAATTCTATATCCAGCAAAACTATCCTACAAAAATGAAGGCTGAAAAAGGACATCCCTAGATAAGCAATGAATGAGAATGCACTGCTAATAGATCTGATTTAGACTGAACTATTGACTCTAAACAGTGATATGAATAATCAAGGAGAAATAAAGAGACTAGAAATGGTAAATACATAAAGTGATATAAAAGATAATATAGATACATTATTTTCATTTCTCTTAACTGTTTTAAAAAGACATAAAATTGTATGAAGCAATAATTATAATACTACATTATTGGATTTATTACACATACACATGTAATATACATGACAATAATAGCAAACAAGAGCAGGGAGAAAATGCAACTATATTAAAGCAAAGATTCTATTTTACTAGTATTACGTTAGTATTAATCTGAAGTAGCAAATTAAAATGTATATTCTAATCCCTAGAGTAATGACTAAGAAAAAATGGCGAAAAAGTAAAGATATTCACAGAGAAATTAAAATGATATGCTGAAAATGTTTACTTAACACAAAAGAAAGTAGGCAAAGAGGAAGAGAGAAACAAAAAAGACAGGAGACTTACATAGAACAAACAAAAATTGGCAAAGATAAATACAATTAAACATCCCAATCAAAGTAAAATCCAATTACATACTATCTAGAAGTAACTCACATTACATTCAAAGATACAAATAGGGTGAAAGGAAAAGATATCATGCAAACAGTAACCATAAGAGATCAGGAGTGGCTATATTAATATCAGAAAAAATAGAATTTAAGACAAAAATATTACAAGAGATAAAAAGACATTTCATAATGAGAAAGAGGTCAATGTATCAGTATGATATAACAATGATAAATACATACACACATTTAACATCAGAGCATCAAAATACATGAATCAAAACTTGACAAAATGAAAGGAGATTATAGATCATTTAACAATAACAGTTGGAGATATCTATACATATAGAACAACTGGACAGAAAATCATCAAGGATATAGAAGATTTGAAAAACATAATCGGCCAACTCAACCTAGAACATTCAACCCAATGACTGTACCATAAATATACAATTTTCAAGTGCATATGGACAGTTCTCAAGGATAGATCAAATGCCAACCATAAAACACATTTTAATACATTTAGAAGGACAGAAATCATCAAAGTATGTTCCCCAACCATAATGGAATTAAAATATAAGTCAACAAAAAGAAAAAATTATAGGTCAACAAGAAATAAATTGGGGAAATACCAAAATATTTGGATATTAAGCAATGTATGTCTAAGTAACCCATGGATCAAGAATAAATCAGGAAAGGGCTGGCCAGGCACCTACAGATAGCAACTGAAGTCCCAGAGATATATCTCAGCTGTTGGGGTTGCCACTGAGAACTCTGGGATCTAATCCCCAAGCTGGATCCCCGAGTAGAGAGCACCAAAACTGAGGAGAGTACTCACATAACATCTGGCTATGAAAACAGCAGGGTGCTGTCTGCCAGGGAGTAACAGCTAACACTTCGGGCACCCTCTTAAAGGGCAAGTGCACTAAACTCCCTGTGGAGCTACCCACCTTGTGTTCTGGCAGAGGGAGGGTGAAGTGGACTGGAGCTGTGAGGGCAGAAGCCAGGACTGGGGACTCGGGGGATAGAACTCAGAAGGCAGACACCCCAAGTTTCCAGGGCTGAGTCATTCCCTCACCCAGCGGAGGACATCTTTCCCACATAGACATTTGCCTTGCCTGGGAAGGAAGACATTTGACACATCCTACTGGAAAACACCTTGCCCTGAGGCTACTTAAGAGATTAAAAATAACAATTAGCCTCCAGGCAGAAGCAACTGCCCTACCCTGTTAAAAACAACTCTCCCCACACCAGAGGACCATTGCCTGGGGGGCAATTCAAGTCAGAATCCTATCAGTCTGTAGGCAGAGGTGGTCTCTGGAGGCTTTGAGTCTATGCCTGATCTAATTAGTCAGAAACAGCCTTTAACTCTGTCCTGCACTAGAGATTGAGAGGTGTAGAGCAAGCACGTCAAACTTGCAGCTGGTGAGGCATGCAGCCCGCCGGCCGCAAGTTTGACATGCTTGGAGAGGATCTACCTAATACCAAGTCACAAACCCAAATAGAAAGCCAAAATGAGGAGACAAAGAAACAACCCCCAAATGAAAGAACTAGAGAATTCTACAGAAGAAGAGATAAATGAAGCAGAGATAAGAAATTTATCTGAAATAGAGGTCAGAGTAATGATGGTAAACATGCTCAACAGAATGAAAAAAGATATAGTAACTATGAAAAAAGAACAGTCTGAGATAAAGAATGACATAACACAAATAAAGGATACATTGGAAGGAATACACAGCAGATTAGGGGAAGCTGAGAATTGAATCAGTGAATTAAAAGACAGAGTTGAAAATAACACTCAATCAGAGAACCAAAAAGAAAAAACAATTAAAAAACAGAAGGGCAGCTTAAGGGAGCTGTGGTACAATGTGAAATGTAACAATATTAAAATAGTAGGTGTGCCAGAAGAGGCAGAAAGGGAGAAAGGCATAGAGAAGGTGTATGAAGAAATAATGGCAGAAAACTTCCTTAATCTGGTAAAGAAAAAAGTCACAATTGATCCCATTTAAAAGTTCAGATCTCTAATCCATCAAGCTGTTATGATCAACTCCCTGGAATTGCTAAGTAACTTCATTTCTACTTTACTGTTTTAATTGTTTAAATAAAAATAAAGATGCTTTTGATTAAAATCTATAATAATAAGAGCATAATATGCTAATTAGACCGGACATCCTTATGGACGACCTTCCAGACAAGCCGGTGCCAGAGGGAAGCCAGTGCCAGCAGCCAGGGGAAAGAAGGCCTAATCTTGCATGAATTTTGTGCATCGGGCCTCTAGTCGATAATAATAAATAATAATAATAAAAGCGTAATACGTTAATTAGACCAGACAGCCGAACGACCTTCTGGGCATTCTTCCAGATGACCTTCTGGATGAAGCCAGGGCTGCAAGAGCCAAGGCAGCCGCCGTGGCTGCGAGGGCTGAGCCCCTTGCATGAATTTCATGCATCGGGCCTCTAGTAATAATAATAATAGTAATAAATCAAATGGAAAGTGACCAAATATTTGAAACTAAATGAAAATGAAGAACAAGTCAAAATTTAT